TTTAAAGAAAAAAAATGAAAGAAATTAAATAACATGTACAAAAATGACAGTCGACTACTTTTTTCTTTCCAATTAAACCTAAAATAAAAAAAAGCAAAAAACCGAATAAATTTGAAAAAACACTGAATTATTTTGGGGATTTTACTAGTGTTCCTCACTTTAGTGTGGTCCTTAGACGCGTAATAAAAATAATAAATTAAGGTATGTTTAAGTCATTAGAACATTTTTGAAGTCTGAATGACGAAGTTGCTGGAGCAGATGCAAAAGATGCTAGACATGCTACCATCCGCCTCGAGCCGGTTGGTCTCGGCATGAACTTGGACAAACCAAAGTCATGGCCCATTATCACATTGATCTGAGATGCCTCGTTGTAATTGTTGACTGATGATAATACTATAGTTTTAAATTCTCACATTGGTGACCTCCGTTCCAAGTTCTGTAATTTATATGCTTGCGATGTCTGGTTGTGCAATTATATGAAAAATTCTAACTTTTATAGTATTGAAGGTTAAACAATTTATACACATCGAAAAGCTACGCCGCGTGTTCATAACTACAACATACATGCCTCCTTTTTCCATTATAATTATTATTTATTTCCAGTTATTAGATTTACGCAATTGTTAAAGATGAGTAAAATAAAAGATATCAAACTGAGGACGTCCTAAACAGAGGTCAGGTCAAATTTATTTACGACGAGGTATCTATGAGGATTGTAAAAAGTGGAAAGCTGTCCTTGACTACCTCGATAGAGAAAGACCGAGGAGTGTGTGTAAGTACGAGATCACAGACCATATCTATTTTTTAGTATTATTCATTTCATACAAAATGAAAAGAATTTATTTTAAAATAAATTATGCACATTCTGATTACAAAATGACTTCAGTGTGAAAGGAAAAGTTCCTGTTTATTCATCTACTCATAGCTGTGGTGTTTTTGCAGTTTGTACAGGCACAGTTAGGAATTTTTCTCGTTTTCAACTGATATATAGCAGCAGCAACTAAGCGTTTTTGTACTACACTGGGCACGCGAAGTAGATACACTTGTAGCGTCTATTTAGATATATGGTCTGTGGAATGTAAAAGAAATGAAAGCGGTTACTAAGTGGCCAGAAATGTCGTTAAATTCAAAGATCTGATATTAAGAAAATGTGCTACTAAACATCGTAAGATGGACTATCCATATATTTGTATGGTAAGGTAGAAGTATAATACTTAATATCAACAAATTTTCTATATACGTGTTTTACGATTCGATATCAGCCTCAACTGCTGAAGTTTTCATATCTTACAAAGTTTGTTTTACTAAATACCACCTTGTTGTGTAAAAAAAACCTCGTGATGAACAAGAACTTCTCGAAGCTAGTCGAATACTTATGAACTCCTCGATCGGCTTTGGCAATCACAGTGATGGACTTTATCCAAACCCTTTATAAATATACATAATCAGAAAGGTTCCGAAGTACTTACTACATTAGATAAAAATACGTGTTCTAAATAAGTAACGCCACGTTGTCTTTCAAATGAAATTATAACACGGCAAATTGATGGTTATAAAGTAACCAATGTTATAATAAAACAGAATACCTATGGTACTATATCGACGACAGCCCAACGGTTAACAATTTGGACGCTAGGTAAGTCGGTTCCGGTAGAATCAATTTGGCAAATGAATTTTTCTGAATTGGTTCTGGGTCTGGATGTCCTGGATAGTGCTTTGGAGTTAAATTCGTTGCTCTGGCGCTTACAGCACACGTAATTTCCAAATCTGAGACCAGGTAATTGGTGTGTTAGTCTGGCACTATTATTCTTATATTATTATATTTATATATATATATATATATATATATATATATATATATATATATCTCCTGCTGGGTCAATGTACAAAAATAACTTTTCTACATTGTATTGGGTCTGGGTGTTTGTGGTACAGTCGTTGTTTAGTGCTTTAGTTACGTACTTTGGAATCGGAGCAAGGTATGTGATATTGTGTAATGTTTATTAATATAGCGATTTATTGATAATTTCTCAAAAATTCTGATAAAAATAGTGCTCGTTTAGCCGGTTTTTGGATTTGAATCAAGAGCATTACGGTTGTTGGTTAATCAGAAGGTCGAAATCATAAATGTGGACCACTGTTCATTTACTAAGACCAGCCCCTAAAGTGTCTTACTCATTCCTCTCAGGCGAATCTGCCTTAAGAATGAGTAATAGAGTTTGTGACGGGACGAACATGTCTTGCGCGTGATGGTAAGCTACATGCCTGTCCATAACAGTTACAGTGCCACTCAGAGTTTCAAATTGCAAAGATCTGAGTGGCACTACCACTGCACCTGTCACCCTGAGACATAAGCTGACAAGTCTCATGTGCCTGTAATTTCACCAGCACCGTTACCCTTCAAAACTGGAACACAGTACTACTGATATTACTTGACTTGGCGGCAGAAATAGGTGAGGTGGTAGTACTACACTGGACGAACTCTTTCACAAGAAGCTCTACTGCTACTAAATTTAGTTTAGAGTTTTAGAGTATAATCAATGTGACGAATTCAAGTGTAATTTATTTACGTATGAAGTATGCCTTGGAAAATAATAGACGTCTCGTTTCTCTGTTATCCTTATACGATCCTGCAATTAGCTTCTCTTTTAAGTGATTTATGCAATTAAGTTGTATTTTTGCCATTAGTAGTCACCTATCATTTACCTATCTACCAATTTCACAAAGTACTAAATATATAATATGACCAAAAGAATCTTACTATCCTCCTCAATCGTGATTTTAAGCAAGTACACCGTCAATAAATCCTATCGACTCAGCTCTGTTTTCGGCTAGGTGGAGTACGACATTTAATAGTACTGTCAGATTTTCAGCTACTTACACCATCGTTTTGAACGTCGACCTGTAGATGGCGAGCTCTCTATTTTGCCTGTAACAATTAGTTTTTCAATATTGTCAGTGCTAAGTAGTGATGTGGCCAAATAACTGTAAAATGCGGAACCGACAGACGGAAGACAAACGTTTGTGTCTGTGTAACTATAATTGTATATAAGCATGAGTAATAATAAAAATAATTTAACGTTCATAACAACTCTTCAATTGGATTTAATTAAGAAGAAACTCAATTATATATCCCAGGTGTTTCTTGTTTACTTTGTCACGCAATCTCAACCCAAGTGTTGTTAATGACGCCTGTCTTCATTTTAATAGCAAAAAGCGATCGGTGATAACCGTGAATCAGAGCCTCTACCATAAATATGTAGTAATGATTGTCGTTAGCGAGTGTGTTAAATAATCGACAGTTGCTTATTGAGAAGTAACACTCGGTATACATAAATATTTTATACGATCGCTAGTGAAAATTGTCACTGGCTCTTCATACTATGGATAATACGTCGCAATGGTTAATTCAATGATTTATGATAATTTTATGCGCGAATACATATTATAGATACTATAGTGTTAAACCAAAACACTGCAACTCTCTGTACAGTGTTTTGCAATTTCATTACAACACAATTCTTTAGGCCGTTATCAAGACGTCGCGTTTTGAGATCTATAAAAAGAGCCCAATACCAACGTATAGACAGCCTATTTGCCTTGCCTTGCCGACGCTCGATGTCGCTTGCCTAGCTGGCTGAGTGAAGGCGAGCGCCAACGTGTATGGAGCTCATTTAGCGTAGCTTGTCACAATGGAGAGGTGTCGGTTTTTCTGTACAAATACGGCCAATGGTGTTTTCACGTTTGTGACAAATAAGATATTCAAATGAATAACTTTTGATACTATAGTGAAAAATAGACATTTTTGCATTAACATTAGACATAACTGGTTGATGGCCTGATGATTGTGGGACCTGTAAAGGGCACGAAACGTTGGTTTGTTTGAAACAACAAATATACGTGATTTAGATATGAACAATATATTCAATTCTAAAGTTTTAAAATGTTAATATAAGTTTCACTTCTACATCGTTCATATAGTTTCAATGCACAATAAAAGCTGACAGCGCACAACGTGTGGGCAGCTCCACAAAACTCGTCTATATTGGTCGTTTGTATTGTTCGTCTTCAAACTTGTCGAAACTTGACGTCTAGAAGACGGTGGCTCTAGTCGTGCATCAATTTATCTACTGCCGCCAAGGCTTAAATGGCAATATTTCCCTGAACGAACTCTGTAAATGTGTAAAAGACAATAGGTCAAAGTATATTTATACTCAAGCTAAGAGCTCATTTGAGCCTTCCTCATTGACCTATTGTCTTTGTCATCTGAGTCAAATATATTATTGTCGTTTAGATATGTTTATGTCCACCCATAAATAATTGTGTCACATACAAAAGAGGAAGAGTACTTAGAGAGGGATTAGAGGCTTAAGAAAAATTAAATATATTATGACAGGGAAAATTGAGAGTCATGACTTGAGTGCATATATATATAAAGTACAACACCGTTTGATCGTTTAGCCAATTATGCAGGTATGTTATAGAGTAATTGTTTCCCTTGAAGCTATTTGTTTTGCGGAAACACCTTTTCAGTGATTGCCTGCGAGGTCTCACGGCGATCAGTAATGTCATTAAAATAAATACACTACAATAATGTTTAAAAGAATTTATTTTCTTTATTTACCTAATTGTACCAATACATTCCGACATGCTCGAAAAGTTATCTGAAGCCTTAGTGCTATCACGTTTTAAAGATAACAATGATTGATAACATTTGTAGGATTCTCTGCAAATTAAAATGACAAAAACATCCATAACCTCAATATTGTAATAAACACCACACTTTTACGATTTATTATTCATTAAACAGAAATAATAATACTAGTACTGCATGTTTTTCAACAGATTTTTTCAATAGCGAAATTTTTTTTGAAAAGTAAAGTTTTCAAGTTGATCATATTTATGTTCATTTATATCAACATATGCATATACATTTTTACATAATCAACTATATAAGATGATTATTATATCACTTTTCGTGTAGACATTTTTACAACTAAAATTGTGGAATTTATTCATGCGTTAGTCGGTGTTGCCAAGTAAAAATAAAGGCTTCAAAAAGTTGCCTGTGTCCAAAAGTGAGAAAATAAACAATTATGTCGTTTTTCTTTGGTACTAACATCTAAATGTGTTTAGGAAAATCCAAACCCTCAATGAGCTAAAGATTACTTCAAGATATGTTTTTTATTGTTTCAACTTGACAACAAATTAAAAAAAAGTCGCACGAATCTAAGTTCCAGACATAAATAAGTGTTTTTAACAAACACTATAAAATAAATTCTTGAGGTACTTTATTTACAAAAGCTAAACCAAAATTCTAATACTTAGGGATGGGGACGTGAAGAAGTTCATCATAGGGTACTGCATCGAAGAATTTCTTAGCAGTGTCTATGGTGACATTCATAGCATACTCTACAACTGGTGTCCCAAACTCCTCGGTCACCGTCCTCCAGTTCTCGTTTAGGAATTGAAGAACTGTGTTACCTGGAATAACGATAATTCATAATTAATTTCTAAATATGTTAGTACGGAAATAGGTACACATATTTTTTTAAACTTTACGATTATCACATATTAATTGAATTCAAATATCGGTACTTAATCGTGTGTAAGTATACGAGTATTTTTTTTACATCGACGTTTCGGACGTCCATAAATAAACTATTAAACTTATACCCATTAAGCTATTAAGATTGTAAAAGTTCGCTTTAGAAATGGTTAAAATCATTCGACTGTGAAGAAATAGAACATCTTTTAAAAGTGCTGGAATAGTTACATCAAAGCTAGTAATAACTGTATAATCTACATACCTAACAGACACACACCAAAATTTTTTGACTGATGTATATAAAAACGTGCATCCCCACGCACAAACAGACAAACTCAAACACATCACGCAACACAGGCAACCACGCGCTCACATATCACGTAACACACACACACACACACACACACACACACACACACCGAGAGAGAGAGAGAGAGAGAGAGAGAGATAGACCACGCAACACACACACACACTTTGTATAATCTGTAAATAATTCAATATTTTGTATATTTTACTGTAAAAAATTTGCATGCTATTACTATTCTATTTTTGATGCGTAACCTTACATAGTTACTGTACCATAACGAAGAGCGCGCATCATAACATTTCTATTTCTTTTTGTGTTGCAACGTCCATGGTCTCCAAGAGACTGTTCATTCAAGCGCGTCCCTTCATTTAAATTCAAAAAATATTTTTTGACGTCAAATTTTAATACGAGGGTAACTCCGATGAGACAATATAGCAAGATGATGAGAACAATAGTGATAAACAATTCTGAGATATAAATATAATCATTAGACATAAGACCAGGCATAACATAAATAACAATAAGGTCAAGGTAGTCGTTCATTGAAGTTTTCCAGATATAAATACCTAGTAATATACTGCTGTGTAGAGTTCAAAGATTGTCTTATATGTAAAGAATCAATGAATATTCAAAAATATCAATAAACGGATTATGGCTGTGTGCCACAAATAATTATGATTGAACTTGACTTGTCCAGGTCAAGTACGATGCAGACAATTATGATTTTAATGCTGCTGACACTCGAACCGGTTATAATGACTTGGTTGATTGGTAATCTTTGACTTCTGATCTTTACGCCAACAACACTTGCGATTCAAGAGTCCTAGTGGAACAAATTAGATATGGTCAAAGAAAAAATCTATTTCTGTAAATATAGTCTTTTAATGAGATTAATTACTAAATAGAAATTCAAAATCGAATCATACATTATAACTTCTTGTAGTCATTTGTAAGTTACATTCACTTTCGATAAAGTGGACGACATGCGGCTCCAACTGATTATTATAATCAATACCACCAGATAAGTAATTTATCTGGTGGTTTTATTGTTTAAAAGAAGGAAAGAATAAAACTTAATAGAGTTTTTAAACTTAATAAATTATTCCAAACAAGATTTTTTAATTGAATAATTGTAATAATCGCAGCTTTAAAATATTTCTTTTTATAATATCAAGTGACAGGACGAACAAATCGTGCACTATAAGGTAGGCTACACGCCTGTCCATAACAGTTGCATTACCACTCAGAACTTTAAATCACAATAATTTGAGGGGCACTGCCACTGCGCCCATCACTCTGAGATATAAGTTGAGAAGTCTCATATGCCTGTAATTTCACCAGCGCCCTTACCCTTCAAAACCGGAACACAGTAATGCTGAAATTACTGCGTGGCGGCAGAAATTGATAAGGTGGCAGTACTTCCCTGGACGAACTCTTTCACAAGGAGCTGTACTGCTACTAAAAAATATCTAATTGTAATATTTGTTTTTCTTGAATATCATGTTTTACTACCATAATATTCATCTCATCATCATTAACCCATGTATACGTCTCACTGCTGGGCACTGGTCTCGTCTCAGGCGAGGGTTTCGGCCTTACTCCGCCGCACCAGTCCAATGCGGGTTGGGTACATTTTTCGAGGGTCACATCCCTCGATACTTCTTCGACGTGCAGGTTTCATCACGATGTTTTCTTCACCGAAAATCTCATGGTAAGTTACAAATAAAATTATATACACATTCAGAGGTGCCAGCCCAGATTCGAACCATAATTCATCTAAAAATATGTAATGTTGAAAATACTCCACTAATTTCTTATTATTATTGTCACAAACAGGAAGAACAAATTTTAATCTACTCTAATTTCTTAACTTTAAATTATTTAAACAGAGCCTTTACAAAGGTCCAAGAAAACTTTCAAAGTAAGGCGGGGTCGAGGGGCGGGGGAAATATCAAATTTAGATTAAAGCACGGCCAAGTTTTAAAGGTAATAAAATTTCATACTTAATTCAGGATTTCCCTTGAAGAGATTGGTGATGGTGTAGTGGATCCTCTCTCCATAGTCGAAGTTATATCTGTAGCTTTTGAGACCAAAGTGGTCACGGCCTTCATTATCTTTGAAATATTTGGTCTTAATGTTTAGTTTAATTACAGAGTTCACTGAAAAATAGAGAATAGAAATAGTTAATATAATTACTAAACATATTTGTACGGAAATAGATGAACAGATGTTGTTAAATTTTAATACGAGGTACGATCGATGAGACGATACAACGAGATGAGGAGTACAATAGTGACAAATACTTTTGAGATCTAAATTTAATTACCAGACATAAAATAGGAAAACATAATTAATTAATAATAATAACGCACACACTCATAGTTCCGCACTAGGCAAACCCTGTGACACACATGCCATGGACACACACATAGACAACCACAAATGACACCCAAACTCACGAGAGAAATAAATGTAGGCCATACAAATATTTCTCCCGGCCTGGGAATCGAATCCAGGATATTTGTGTGGCAGTCTAGTATGGTAACCGTTCGGCTACGGAGGCCGTTAAATAAAAAAAAAAAAAATTAACAGTAAGGTGAAGATCGTAGTTCATTTAAATATACCGAGTATGCGTAATGTACATATTTATTACAAGGTTTTCGATTTTCTTTTTAAAGTTGTGGTTATTTCCATAACAATTGTTGGTAGAAGTTAAAATTTTTGGCAAAGTTGACACGATTACCATAAAAATAAAAGCAGTTATATTGTTAAAAGTAAAAACTAAAGAACACATAACGAACTCATAAGCTCCTTTTTAATTTTTTAATGACATACGGTATTTTCCTTTGGGGTAATGCCGCGGATATCAATAATTCTATTAATATCGGCGGCATTATTTTTGTTCTGCAAAAAAATACGGTTAGTGCAATTTACAATCTGGGCCTCAGAGTGTCTTTGAGAGATAAGTTTAAAGATATTAACATTCTTACACTAACGTCCCAGTACATTTATGAAAATGTTATTTATTTTAAGAAATATATTAATTTTTTTAATGAAAAATAGTGACAGACATAACATTAATACGAGGAATAAAAATAAACTAGTTGTTCTTCGTTAAACAGTCGTCTTCATTAAGTCTCAAATTCATTTAAGGGGTGTTGAATACGTACTGTAATAAGATTCCGATTGATATTTAAAATATGCCATTTACAAAGTTTAAAACTTTTGTGAAACAAAGATTTTATACTAAAGGTAATTATACAACTTCTGCGTACTTGGATGACAGTAATCCGTATTGTCTTGACCCGTTTAGCTCTTTCAGCTATTCTCGATCTAAGATGTGTAAATTAAATATTATATAATTGATAAATGTATTCAAATGTATATTTATTTACAAAGAGCAACGCCTACAGTTTCTGGCTCATTCTTCTCAGGGGAATCTGCATTACGAATGAGCTGTAGAGTTTAATCAGTACGACGATTTCCAGTGTAATTTGTTTACTTGTTACTTTGACTTTGACGTTGATTTGACTAATTATATCACTTACATTATTTACATAAATTACATTATATAGTATAACCTCGATAAATTTTAGTTAATATAACTTAGGTACTGACCAAATTGAAATAATTAGGTACGCTTAGACAGTTTAGACGTGCCGTTGTCTTCTAATGACAATGTAGTTACAGCTTCTAATAAGTACAACCGCAGGTTTCTGTCTAAAACTGTACGCAATCACAATACACCATAATTACGCAATACTTTGTAAAATCTGATGTTTCTTTTTTGCTCTTCAAGGCTTTATCGGTCATATTACTTGTAGAAATTGTAGTGATACCTGCTGTTGCATTATTTAGGAAAATTCCATGGTTGGCGCAACGCGTGGTCAAGGTACAATCATTTTGAAAGTTATGTTTTTGTCGGTTGCATACAATACGAATATTTTTATTTACAGTTTGCTATAGTTTACTTTTTATTTAAACAACTGTGTGTTTCTTGTTATTCACGTGGTTTTTTCCTTAAATTACGTACGCAATTAGTTATTCTCCAAAATTTGTTTCTTTTGTTGTATTTGTTACAGACAAGGCCAATGTGCGAAAGGTGAGGTTACCTACACAAAAAGGTAGTATACCTTGGGAATAATTTGTATTTTATCCGAAACGCAACTCAGCATATTCAAGACATAAATCAGGCAATTACCGATTTTAATTTTAGAGTCCCCTTCTCCATTGATGGGGAACAGCAGCAGTCTTCCAACGGCAGTATATTTGCCCTTGATGGTCATGTTGCACTTAACTTCTAGGATGAAGAGGTTCTTCTCTAGGTATGCCCTGAAAATGATAAAAGAGATTTGGGTAAAAGAAGGACTGTCACTTCATAGATAAAAATATTTCAAATTAAGGTCATCACTATTGCAATAAAGAAAATATATTAGTCAGTCAACATATTAATCATCAACTAAATAGAATAGAATCAACTGTAGAGTAATTTTTAAGATCAAAATCAGTATGATATGTTCCTTTTCGAAGTTCATGGGTAAAGGCACCAAAAAGATAACTGAGAAATAATTAGATTACACATCAATATTTAGTTTTGTTCCTACAAAACGACCAATGTAACTACAAAACGACCTAATATCCTTTACAGAATCCGAATCCAGAATGCGAATATTCCTCTCTTGACCAAAACTGTTAGATAAATACCGCTAATGTGCATTACTATAAAATATAAACGTACGTTTTACATTTTACGGTATTGGCAACAAAAAGTAATAATATTTATGGTAACAACAATTATGATACTGTAAAGTAAGGCATACATAGGAAATGAAACTATTTTTCCGGATTTACATTGCGTATATTTGTTTTTTCAAACAAACCGACGTTTCGGGCCCTTTACAGGTCATGGTTAATAGTCACGGCCATGGGACCTGCAAAGGGTCCGAAACGTCGGTTTGTTTGAAAAAAACAAATATACGCGATTTAAATCCGGAAAAATAGTTTCATTTCCTATGTGTAACAATCGCGAAAACCTAAGAACTCGATAAGGCATATATTATAAAATAATCAGTTTTTTGTCTTTCCTGTAAGTGCTCTTGCTCACCCATTATCAGAATTTAATATTCTTTGACAAACAGTATATTATCCGGCGCAGGATACTTCTGTTCTTGAACTACCTTTCGAGTACTGGTGTCCTGTAAAGTCTGTAGTTTCGTAATGTAAATATTGTAAGCTTTCAAGTGCTTTTAATATATAAATAAATATAAGTGACCCAATTTCACATTTGCGATACTGAATGCCGAACGACGAACGAGGTAGAGTGATTATCATTATTATTGTTGATATTATTATTGCTAATATTCATTACCAACGACAAATTCAAATGACATACAACAAATATAAATACACTCTTGAAATGCAATGCATAGTTGCTAGTATGCTTTTCGACGAAATAACACTAACAAAAGATGTTGTAAGGCCTATTATGCGTGAGAATGTAGTATATAATGGGGTAGGCAAGGTTCTACTGAGTTTGGTACTGGAAATAATTAGACATAGTTATGACCACAGAATTTAATACACGAAAGATCTTTAATAATGCTTTGATTGTGCGTTCGGTGTCAAGATCGTTGGTCTCAATGTATTTAATGACTTTTGGTTACCTACATAAGTACTATGTCATTGCAACTTAGTTGCAGGCACAAATGACGTTTTTATGTTTGTGTTGAAGTTGACACTGTGAAACATATCTGGTGGAAATGGGTCTTATTCCTACCGCCAAGCAGTAATGTTCACATTATGGTTTTGAAAGATAAGGGTCCTGGCGAATGGGACTTGTTAACTTCATCATTCAGCTGTACAAATAATAACTTATAATAATATAATAACACACATACTCATAGTCCCGCACTAGAGAAAACCTGTATCCCTGGTGCCATGGACACACTATAGACAACCATAAAATACACCCAAACTCACGAGAGAAGTAAATGTAGGCCATACAAATATTTGTCCAGGCCCGGAAATAATCTCTCCGTGGCGAACCAGCTTGGTAACCGTTCGGCCACAGACGTAGTTATATTTGAAGGTGACGGGACCAGTAGCAGTGTCGCTGAGATCTTTGCGATTTTAAAGCTCTGGGTGGCATTACAATGGCTATGGACATTGGACAGGCGTATCGCTTAATGCCAAGCGCACGACATATTCGTACCGTCACTTGATCCGAACTTTTTGCTTGTGTTTATTCGATCTTTGTGTCAATATATAACAACAAACTAGTGGAGCATTTTCACCAAAAAATATATGAATATTAAAAAAATGAAGAAACAAAAAACAAAATTTAAAAAAAAAAAAACGATTTTTGTGAAAAAAATGAAGAAACAAAACAGAACATCCAAAATTAAGTTGGCGTAGTGTTCATTGGAGGTACCGAAATTTTGACATTACGAAGTTTTAATCAAAATACGATGAACGTAGATTGTATCATAATTTGCAACAGCGCTTTTAATTTCATTTAGATTCAACTCTGATTATGATGATTACACTATAGTTCAACATGTGTTGCTTCATTCGTGGGAATAGTTTCTAATTCACTATCCGAAGGTTGGAGCCAGGGTTGCATAGATACAAAATCCTGTAGTTAATATTAAAATTAGTATTAAAGTGTTTGTATCCTTTTCAGGAATTACTTATCTAAAGTAATGTTATAAATGTGAAAGTAATTCTGTCTGTTACGTTTCCCAGATAAACCAATTTTGATGAATTTTGGGAATAAGATCGAAGGGATCTAGGAAAAGGACATAGACTACTTTTTGTCACAGAAATAAGTTTTAAAAGGGGTAAGATAGGAGACGAAAATTTGTATGGAGAACTAATAAAACTATTATAATTAGCATAGTGCAGTAGACTATTCGAAGTACTTATTCTAGCCAGGTGAAGTCGCGGGCATATGATACATAACAATAACGAATATCCTATACATAATATGTTCCTAGGTAATATAGAAATTTCGTCATGCATTTTTGCAATCAAAGTGATATTTGAAGCAAAGAAATTTGCTCAGAGATTTGAGAGTTTGATTAAACATAAATAAATATCATAAATACATAATATTAAACTAATTCATAATTAAAAAGTTTATAGACTGTCTGGGAAACCCAAGGGCCGGCAGCCCCACCTTGCCCAACGCATTAGCATATCCATACAAAGGGGAACGCTGCCAGCATCTTGTGCACCTTGCCTGGGGGGGTCCCAATTTTCTTCATAATTTAATCATAGTTTTAGTTTCTAGTATTTAAGCTTTTACTGTACCTTACCTGTATATTTCAACTTTATGTCTTTTAAACCCTTATGTTATCATTAATAAATATGTAATGAAATAAAATATAAAAAATAATGTAACTGAAAATGATTTCATTACAATATCGTTAAATGTGTACTTAGGAAATTAACATTTTTTTCTGACACATTTTAAGATGAAGCAAAAATATATCAATTACATTTATCGTTATTTTTTACCAATCATAGTCTACACACTGTAGTCTTGCCGACAAACACCAACAAAAATTACATATCTACCATATACATTGATTTGGCTTCGTTAAAATTTCAAAGATCAAATTTATTTACTCCTACTAATCGGCTAGATTTAAGACCCGCTTCTAAATCGTGAATTGTGACTTAGATGCACCTAATTCATAAACATTAAAAATGGTAAACATAATTACAATGTTTTTTGCTTGAGATTGAAGTGGATTCTCAGTGATTATTGCTACAAAATCGTTATTTTCAGGTGAAAAAAGTTTAGCAGACAGCCACAAGTAATATTTTGAATTGTCATGTAACAAGTGAACATTGCCAAGAGAAAGGCGTTGGATTTTCCTAATATTTAATGCCATGAGATTGTGGTACACCTATAATATCAAAATATTAAATAATTATAAATGACAACGATTAATTTTCATCGAAATTCTAAGTTACATCCATTAGTGCTATTTATAAACATAATCTCAGTACAGAGTAATAAAAAAAACCCACCTCAAAAGTACGTCGAATTACGTCTATTTGCCAAGTTTCATTGAAATATCCCCTAGTTCGGCATTATACAGAACTTGACAATGGAGACAATAAAAATAGGTTCTCACTACGACACTACTCAAAGTATATTGAGAGAAAAACGCCTTGAATTGGAGAAATAGCAAAATCAACCATTAAAGTAATTGCTCCTAAATTAAAGTTAGGTGCTATTTATAAAAATGAATCTTCATGCGTGAACAGCCACCCTTCGAGGAGGATGATTTTCTTCAAAATGAAATGGGACCACTATGGAAGTACCCCCTTTCCAACAAAAAAAGAATCATGAAAATCGGTTCACAAATACCGGAGTTATCGCGTAACATACATACAAAAAAAAGAAAAAAAAAAACATACAGTCGAATTGAGAACCTCCTCCTTTTTTGAACTCGGTTAAAAAGCAGTTATACTACCTCTATTGTTTTCCATGCTATACAGCCTCAAAGCTTAAAAACGAGTTAACTTCAATAAAGGTTATGTTAATAAAACCTACCTCATAAATATGTACGTCTGCTCGGTCATAATGGCACCTTGACATGGCATTAACTACTTTCTGTGGCCTTGAGACGCGTTGGTTAGTGTAAGTTCTGACTTTGGTTATGTGACCAACGAGTTTCGCTGTTTTGTGTCAGTGAATTATCCAAATAGTTCTCAATGTCGATGTTCACTGTTTTGACAGTCTTCGAGAATTTCGAGTTTTTTTTTATTTGTTAGCAATCAGTTGATTTTCTTTGTCGAATAAACCAGTTTTTTTAAGAACGTTCGTTGTCCAAGTACGATTTTACATTACTGGCAAATTTGTTTACTGGATAAATTAAATGTGTATACAATATTTAAACCGAATTATTTCACCTAAGTCTACACATTTGAAATATTCATTACATTTACTCTTAAATTCAATAGGTCAAATAGGTCGACACAAAATATATCTAATATTTTAAAATTTATTATGTTTTTTACGCATCCTAGAAACACAAGATTTTGACAATTTTTATAATTTTTTGTACTTACATTAAATTTTTTAAATAGTCATTGGAAACACAACTGCGCTTTAATTTCGATTTTTTTGTCATTTTATAATATTGCAAATTGCAAACAAAAATTGCACCGGAAGAAGCACAATTTTTTTTTCTATTACATTAAATATTATCGCTGTAATTAAAAACTACTTACTCGACATTTAACACCTGACATTTCTTGAGACCCGTTACTTTTCCGTCAATAAAAGTGACCTTGACTCCTGGCAGCTGTATGGGTAGCTCATCGATGATAAATGGGTCCAGCGATGGTACTCCCAGTTCTGGGATACCCTGGGCAAAGTGTGGAATTGCATCTTTGGTGGCTTGTATTAAACAGGCTCGTTCTGTGGTGTTGCAGGGATGGATGTAGTCCGCTGGAAATTTTAGAAAGAAGAGCTTGAGTAAGATTATTATTAATACAAAGACCGAACACGATCGATCCGGCTGGATTCGAACCAGCGCCTTCAGCATACCGTGCCTGAAGCACTTCCAATTGACTACGGAACGAGCCAGCAGACGTTACGAATTTTTTTATGTGTCTGTTATAAATCTTTGCTTGTAACGACTTTTTGCCGTAACGCCATCTGTGAGAAGTCTATGAGAGATTTTCTTTATTCAGGATTTGTAGTACTTTTTTTATTTATTTCACTTACAGTTATTGCTATACGACATAAAATAAATTAAGTACGGTTAAGATTTCATTTAATTGCACAACTAATTATGAGTGAACACAACTTGCAAAAATAACGTAAATGAACATAAATATAAAGTTTTAAAAAAGTAAGTAACTGTAAAAAAGTAATATTAGAAAACAACAAATGCTAGAGAACAAGGGTTTCTGGCAGTATCAAACTAAATGGAAAATGGTATTAGTAAAAAGGTATTAGATATTTGTATTACGACAAAAAATATTTCGCCGAAGGTACTCGTGACTTATGGAAAAACAAAAACATTGAAGATATTACAGACCGAGTTGCAGGTGTACCAATCTTATATTATTCAAGTTAAGCAACTTCCTATCGATAAAGTATATTTTCACAACAATTTACAATGTTCTAAGTTTTCCAATGCTTACAATGTTATAGAGATGTTTCGGTAATACTGCATCCATTCACTTTTAAGACAGGCAATAAAGTACTGATGAACATCGCACTCAGCCAGCCTAAACAAGGATTTGCTTTACGGTTCAAAAGCAGTGCAACCGGAAACAGGGGTACTGATCCAAACAAATGTTTATCTTTTAAACGAGATAGTTCAACGAGGAAATTGTATTACGACTAACGCCTCAGAAGTTTCATTACGTAAAACAAATAAGTCTCTAGTACAAAATAGGCACGAGAAGGGAGCACTAGATGTTTATTGTTAGAATGATACAACATGGTAATAAGTATGTGTGGTAGCGTATATTAATAATAGGTGTTTACGCTTCCTATATGTTATGGTTTCTTTCATCATCTTATGAAGTAACTAGCTGTTGCCCGCTATTTCGTCTGCGTAATATTTTTATATGTGTTATAAACTACTAAAATACGAACAAAAACATATTTCATTTTGCAAATGTAAGGAATACGATTTTTTTAGAAAAGGTTTTTAAAAAATATGGCTTACCTATTTTTAGGGGTTGTTTTGAAAAACCGTGAAACACGTGTTTATTTATTTTTTAACCGACTTCAAACAAAGGAGGACGTTTTCAATTCGACTTTAATTTTTATTATTTAATAGGGTTCCCGGGTCTATTTAAATTTTAAGAAAATATTCGGCTTCTAATGGCAGCAAATTAGCGGATAAATCAGGTTTATGATTTTTACCACTTTTCCTTAACTATTTTCAATAAAACCTGGCAAATAGATGTAAATCCAAAAATTTTTGAATTTGGCTTATTTAAAAAAACAAGATATAATTATATTTAAAGTACATATCCAAAACTAAGTTTGAAGCTAATGGCACCAAGCGTTAGAAAGTGCCCATACAAACTTTAATTTGTATGGGAACCCATGCACCCTTATTAAGTACTACTAAGTACTTTTGAAAAATATCGTGTCAATCATTTACCAGGTGCAATATATAGAACATTTGTACTAAGTTTCAGCTTTGTAAGTTCAAGGAATACTATTTTTCATACGAACATTTTTACCCTCTCGGCGGTTGAATTTCGAAAAATCCGTTCTTAGTACGCCTACACTAAATAAAAGTAACATATCCTCTAGTATTCATGTTTCTAGTTTTCGCTGTGTGCACAGTTTCCAATAATTTGCTCCGGACTCTACTCTTTTATTTTGTAGCTTTAAAAATGGTTGTAAATAAAAATACTATTATTATTATACGTATAATAGAATAATATTATTATATATAATATTATAGTTATGTAGTTTTCACATTAGGTGCGATTTTCGTACACTTATTTTTTTTATAATACCAAGTGATGGGACGAACAAGTAGTGCGCTTGGTGGTAAGCGACACGCCTGTCCATAGCCATAGACAATTTGTCTACAAACGGTGCCAATATTAACAGATATTGTAAGGCATTTGAACGCTGGTCTTCACTCAGTCGCCAGAAAGATTGAATCCGGGCTTGAGAGAGTTCAAAAATACGAATTCTCGAGATGGACTATTATGTCAGGTGAAGGTTTTTAATTTAGGAATCTGGTTTCATTTGCCCCAGTGCCCTTCATCTATACAAAATTTTATCGAAAAATTAATAGACTGTCTGGGAAACCCAAAGGCTACCTTGCCCAACGCATTAGCATAGCAATACAAAGGGGGAACGCTGCCAGCATCTTGGGCACCTTGCCGCGGGGACCAAATTTTATTCATATATTTTAAAAATCCTAGTTTTACTTTCTAGTAGTTAAGCTTTTGTTGTCTTTTTTACCTTACCTGTATATTATGTTAATTAAATAATATTAAATGTTTCCGGGGTATTTTTTTATATTATATCAAGTGACGAGACGAATAATTCATTTACAGTGACCCATGTGTCTATAATCTAGTCTATATTACAATCCTTTCTGCTCATGTTTGATTTAGTTTTAGTATTTATTTAGTATAAGCCGTGGCAGCCTAACGGTTTGACCTACCACCTCTCAAGTAAAGGTCGTGGGTTAGATTTCAGGCTCGTATCTTTGAGTTTCTCGGAGTTTATGTGCGAATTTATCATGAGTTTTTTGGTGAAAGAAAAAAATCGTGATTTTTTTATGATATAAAATGACGGAACGAACAAGTAGTGTGCTTGGTGGTAAGCGACACGCCTGTCCATAACAGTTACAGTGCCACTCAGAGCTTTAAATTGCAATGATCTGCGGGGCACTGCCACTGCGCCAGTCACCTTGAGACATCAAAAGTTGACAAGTCCCATGTGCCTACAATTTCACCAGCACCCTTACCCTTCAAATCCGGAACACAGTAACGCTGATATTACTGCTTGGCGGCAGAAATATGTAAAGTGGCAGTACTACCCTGGACGAACTCTTTCACAAGGAGCTCTACTGCTACTAAACCTGACGAAACCTGTGCGTCGAAGACGTTCACAACCCTCGGCAAACTTGTAATATCCCTAATCCGCATTGGGCCAACGTGGCGGACTATGAGAGGAGATCCATGCCTAGCAGTGAGACTTATGTAGTATTTATACTGTTTATTTACTTCATTGCGCTAATTCCACCCATTAATACTCAATTTACATTGCAACGGAACGGAATGGAAGCAATATTTTTACTTACGTGTAAGTTTACAAATAAGATACGACACGATAGCTGTGGGATTCTCAGGAATACGCCCAACCTGTTTTTGACTTGTATCTAGTTTGTACGTTACACAATTAATATAAAATGTATTGCTATGGTTACAAAACTTCGTTGCCATTCCACGGCAATATAAATTGTGCGTAATGTAATAACTTGCACTTACTCTCTTTGTATATAAAGTTTTTACTTCAACACCTTGTACACTAAACAGTGTACACTAAATAAAAATCTAAATTTTATCATCTAAGAATAATATATCATATGCTATATCAAGTAATTCAATATTTACGAACACTTCGTACCTCTGTACTAAATTATGTTATATTGTTATTTGGAAGACTATGTGTACTTGATTATTTAAATTACTTACAATTTCTTAAACTTCAAAACCTAAAAATTAGATAGAAGTAGAGAAACCAAGCGTAGCAATTTAGAAATGCCAATAATAGTTTAAATGTATCATAAACCTAAATAAGGTTACTTCAAACAGCTCTTGGCTAAGGTGCTAATAAAAAAGACGTCTATGAAAATGTAAGTCAAGGTTTCTACCGCAAAGATTGTTGACTCCATGATGTTCTTACTGCAATGCGACATGCATAGCTAACTTCATGCGATTGTTAGTTGCGAGATAGTAAAAAGTGTAGTGAAATAGTTTACAATGTTTAATGGGTCGTTTTTCTCTCGCTCTCTACTAGGGTAGATTGTGTTAGAGTGAGTATTAGAATGATGAAGAAACATGGATGGACACAAAAAAATGATTATCAGGTTACTTACAATTAAATTGATAATTATTAATAATATCTTTTTTATATAAGAAAACCGATCTCAATAGTTTGTGGAATTACATCTATTTGCTAAGTTTTGTTAAAATTGGTTAACGCAGTGGGACAAACCCAATAAACGGGATTTATCCCATAACTTGCCATCTTTAGAGGCGGAATATTTTCTTCAAATTTGAGGGAGCACTACTAAGGTACCGTTTTCCAACAAAAGAAGAATAATCGAAATCGGTTCTCAAATGTCAGAATAATCACGTCATATACACACACACACACAAAAAATATGCTTTGCGAAGTTTCTGAAGCCGGTTAAAAAGCAAAATAACAGCATTGTTTTCTATAGAGTATTATTTAAAATATTACATATAATTATTACTATAATCATTTTAATACAGGAAATGTACAACAGAGGCGTAAAATGTACGTGACACTTTTTCGTTCTGTATAAAAACCGATTAGATATTGAGACCCTTAGCACAATCAAATATATCAAGACCTAAGCGACCAAGAGACACCTGTCATAAGTCCATGAGAGCAATGTATGGAGGAATGTGCAAGGAGAAAACTGTATACTACGCATTTACGCGCTCTTCTCGACACCTCCAACTTCATTTTTCGACCTGCTCTGTTTTTATTTTGTTTTTTTTTTCATAAAAAATTCGAATTTTGTTTTTGTTTCTTTATTTTGTCTTCACAAAATTTTGGGAGTACAATATTAGTATATAAATATGGCTGTTCACAAAAATAACATTCATTCATTGGAGGTATCGATTCGAGCCGCGACAGGTGTGTGTGATGCGGTTTTCATATAAACAAAGCAACGCTATTCAAAAGTCATAAAATCGCGTGTC